TGCTCTATGAGTGCACATACTAGTACTTCTCAGGCATGCCGGGTAATCTGTGACGTTTCGCTCTCTCAAAAGTTGGGCCATTTTGTCATCATGCGCCATTGAGCAACTCTCATAGGAATGAATGAGGCCCCGCCTCCCACGCTGTATCCAGTTCTTATTATACATCCATGGTCCTAAACTGTAATGGAAATGCGCCACGGCCTCGGACGGCCAGCGAGGCAGCCCGAGGCCTGAGCGAGGACGCTTACGGCCCGTCCACACAGCGGCGTAAGTTGACGCTTGGCGGTGGGTGTGTCTGAAGCTTGGGGATTTTTTGCGAGCAACGCGACCAACAACCAATCACATGAATCTCCCGCCCCGACATACAAAGTAATAGTAATGTTAAAACGAAGTAAACTGGATATAAAATCCCCAAACAGGCGAAAACCTACCAGTTTCACCCACTGTCTCTGCCACCTCCCTCCATGCCTCGCTCTCCGGTTTGTATCCCGGTAAATCAACAGAGACTGATCATACAGCACCGGGTGATTCACTACCGCTACAATGAATTTTCCCTCCATTTTTTGGAATATGAGGAAATGACCTGCGTAGTCTCTCCCAGCATACACGCGGTTTGATTGGCTAGCGCTTGTACTGGCAGATTTGCATAAACGGTATTTAATTGGTTGACGCCTCCGTCGAGGCGTCAAAAGTTGAACATTGCTCAACTTTTGAAGCCAGCAACGCCAGCAACGCTCCACGTTGCTTCCCAAAATGCAGTTCGGCTAAAAGTGACGTCACCCCATTCAAAGTGAATGGGCAGAAGCGTTGGAAGCTTCAACGCACGCCGCTGTGTGGACGGGCCGTTAGGGATGCTTAAACGGGGCTACCCCGCTGCAGTGGAAATGTGCCATAAGTGTGATGCATTGTTTGCCAACACCCAGTTTGTAGCGCTGCTTCCTGTGCCTCATTGGAAATCTTAGCCTTCCACCTGCACCTCTTTGTTTCTCAGTCCTTCAGATAAACAACAAATATATAGTGGTTGGTCAGTGTCTGTGTTGCATAACAGTAAGTTTACCACAGTAAATTGTGCAGGATGTTTGTACAGTTATAGTATGTAACATGCCAACAATTCAATTACAGTAATGAAGTAAATACGTTTCACACAACAGATATAAGCACTGATATATCATGAATTATGCAGAGCTAACAACTGGTAACTAACCTGTTATCAAGTCTAAGTGTCCAGATTACAGAGGCAACAGTACATCGGCTTAGATTAGGCTGAACCCTCTGTCCAGCCTCTCTCATCATCAAACCATGGTTGATAACATTTCATTTCATTATAGAGTATTTGTCTTTTTCCACGTCCTCTCCCTCCAGCTCTACCTCTCATTCTTCCTCCTTTCACTCTCAGCCCAGCTCTTGCTCTTGCTTCCATGTTGGCTTCCATTGTTGCTGTAAGAAAGTACTCACCTGTGGTGTTTTTATAGTGCTAACATCCTGATTGATGAGCCAACAATTATGGTATCAGGTGTTTGGTCAGGTGGAACGTGTTTCTTGATCATTGGTCCATGTGTGAGGCATTTTGAATATCAGTGTTATGTATGTGCTAACACGTGACTTTATGTCAGATTCCTGTGTCTTACGTGGAGAAACGTGTGCAGTGGTTTGCAAAAAGTGCCATGTTGATTTGCAAATTGTGTGAAAAGCTGAAAACGTGTTTTGGAGATTTGAGTGATGTTTTGCTCTTTGAGTGTCAGTTAAAATAATTGTGCTTTATGTATAGGCTACTTTTAGTGTGTTAGCAATCGAGAAAAACTGTAAATAAAGTTATGAAAGAGATAAGGAGGAGAAAAGGCGTGTGGATGTAATGCCTATTTTAAAGTTAGTTTGGCCATTAAAATGCGTTTTGATGTCATTTGATGCGAGAAATATGAGTTGTTATTTCAGATTATCTGTGCAGTGGATGTACATGATCTTTAGTTTGCTAGTTATTACGAAGATTACTTCAGGAAATTGCGTCCATAAGGTTTTCATTGTTACCAAGGTGGTTGCTAGGGACGCTGCTATCGATATTATTTCTGTTATGTTGTGTAACTGTTTAATGGTGTTATATTTATTGCTACCCCCTTCCCCGTCAATGTATAGTGTTGGTCCACAGCGCAAACATATTAGTTTAACAAAATCCGCATCTAAAGATAGCCTACGTTATTTTCCCCTGTGCAATTCCAGTCTCACATCTCACAGCACATCGTCATTAACAAATACCGGAAACAGACCGATAACATTTAAAACAAATTAAATAATACTTTATTCCGAGTGTGCTTGCTTTTCTCTTTGAAAGTCATCACATAACGGCATTGTAATACACGGTTCGGCTGCATTAAATATTACATATCTGCCGTAGTTCTGTATTTATAGAGCCCTGATGAGAAGACTTCTAGACAAACATGAGGAACTGAAAACGTGACGTGGATCATAAATATATCAGCCATTAAACAACATCTTATATTTCTTTTCACACAATACGTCTCCTTGCAGTATCAACACTAATTCGGCTGACTTTTATATTTGATCCAATTGGTAGATAGGCTGTATTTACACCATAAAGGTGCACAGCTGATATAAAGGGACACCTAGTGGTTAAAGCATGTTATTGAATTTCATTATTTTTATTATTAGATATTAATAGGATCCCTATAAAGTATATTCATTACTCGTTATTCTCTACTAATAGTTCATTAAAGACTGTATATAATGACTATTTTGCACATCCCTTTCAAGATTTCATGATTTTTTTCAAGGTTTATTGACATATCATATAGGCCTACACAACTATGGTGTAGTTATGCATTGAATGAAAAACTTGGGTCGCAGGTTCCTCAATAGTGCATTACAAGACATCTATCAATATTTGTGCATACCTCCAGCAATGTTAACTATGTTGAAGCACTTATTTTAACTGATATTATACATATATATTATACTCTTATAAGATGTATGTAGATATTTCATCTCCGACCTTGTCCGGTATTGAACAATCAATAAATAAAGAACACAGAATTGTTGAATATAAATCACAGAATTTGTATGATTATACTAAATGATTTACAAATAAACACCACTGCATATTTAACTGTTACACGTGCTGATGTAACGCAAATGTTCCAACTTGGGATCAATAAAGTATATCTTATCTTAATCTGATCGATGGCTACTGCCATATTTGCAAAATGTGCCTCTGAACCTTGACAAGTGCATGTTTCAGGCATATCAATTAATGTAATGTAATGTAATGTTATCAATTAACAACAGGGGTCACAAAAATAAGACCAGCTGTTAAATAAAGCTCTTCTGACCTTAGCTGGCATGTGTGTATATATATTAATGCTGCCCATTATGGGCACAAGCAATTTTCACCCATTTATTAATTATATGTTTTAAATGTGAGTGTTTCCTATCCCCTAAACCTCCAGGGATGTACACAGTTTAATACTGGCAACTTCTTATTATGGGAAATACGAAAACGTCTTTTAAAACTACAACTCCCAGTAGAGACGTGTCATAGATAGAGAACATGTTGCGAAACAGAATAGCCAGCATGTGTAGTTCTGGGGACGGGGTGGACCCGTTCAAATCCAGTTTTGGACAGTCTGCCGTGATTCCATCCCATTTCAAGTGCTGTTCGAGGCTCGGCGTAACTCTCGGAGCACACTCTCCAATCACAGAGCTTGAGGACTATCATGGGGTTTGTCAAACAGAGCACATGGTGTAGTCCAAACGATAGATGGGGATTCTGGGTAGTGTAGTGTCTTCTGCCATCCTTTACTCCGAAAAAATATGTGTTTCTCCGAATCGAAGGGGAAAAATACAAAAGCATTGCACACAATTTAAACCAATCAATGTTGTGTAATTAACAAGGATAATCTGGTGTTTTTTAGTCGATGAGTAGTGCAGATATCACTGTAAAATCAATCGACAGTAAGAGGAATACTTACTTCCGGGTGTACAATTCTCCGTTATCCAATGAGAATGGACGCTCACATTGCCTTTAAGGGCAGCCGACACAAACGAACGCCGTGCTTCCATGAGCGTCCATAGAAGCATATGGACATCCCGGAAAGCTGAAAATGGACGCTAAGGGCCCCCCCCTTGCGTTGAAAATGGACGCTAAGGCCCCCCCTTGCGTTGGAAAAAGCCGACAGGGGACTTGACATAACGTCAACATAGGCCGACCTGGGAGTGAGGATGTGTTGGAACGACATACATGCACATTTACCATTTACCTCACTGTATAAAAAAGTAACCGTTGATAATAATAATAAACAGGAATTATATTTGCAAAGTAGCCTACTTTGTTTCCAAAAAAAAAAAGTTCACTCCTGTCGGTTAGGGGGGGGGGCCTCATCTCACAATGTCGCTTGGGGCCCCAAGTTGGCCAGGGGCGGCCCTGCCCATCCCTAATACAGACTAGTTATTTTTCCTTTTCTGACCACTTCCTCTATACTTTCGTCTCTCTCTTCATACCTCCGCACTTCGCCTTGGCCATCACATTTTACACACCCACAGACTCCAAACCCCACAACCCCTTGCGGCTGCTACTCTTAAAGTGACAGGCCAAGCCTGTAACAACATGTCTGACATTATCATATGTTATATCATTACCGTCATATAATTGCTTACTATTCGTGGTTATCAAGTATCAGACGCTTAAACAACAGAGAAGGTTTTAAGAAATAGGACTATACTGACAAATGACATCTTATCCTTTCATTGTCTGTTCTGTAGGAAGGAGGAACATAGCAGAGTGGGACTACACTTAAAAACGGAAGTTTGTTCCAATACGAAGATTGTGACAGATCTGAGAAACGTGTCCTTAAAACGAGCCTCCTCGCAATTGTATGCACATTATTTATTCAGCCGTTTGTTGTTTAATCTGATGGGGAAATATATCATTCAAAAGAGAGAAAGTAGTGTGTTTCGTTTTTCTGTTTAGAAAACTAGGCGAACGCGCAATAAACGAGATGACGTCACCTTTGCGCGTCCCCGCGAACAGGGCTTCAATCTACGTCAAGCCTTCAACCTACGGCACAAGACCGGGACTCCAGCAGCTCAGCTCCGTAGTATTCCCTTTGACCCTCCGTTTCTGATTCATTCATCCCGCGGAGAGCTGCAGCTCGGAACTGTCAGACATCCATACCTCTGCCCCCCAGCTGGAGACCTTCTACCCCCCTCCATACAGTGGTGTGCTGTACCTCGACAGGTCAGACGCATCGGTTTTAATCAGCGGACTTGACAACTTTTTCTATCTTCTCTTCTGCATCCTTCTCTTCCTGAGCAGCGTCTCACCGGGAGGCTGCTCTGCTCAGCGGGCTGAGGTGAGTCTTCTGCCGGGTCTCAGGGACCGCTGCTGCCCAGTGGTGTGGAGGATCCACCTGTTCTCAGGCGGAGCTTTATTATACACACAATACACCTTTTAGTACCCGTATGTCCTCTCATGTGTTAAATCCATATTTCTGATATCTGACGGACACGGGTCATGTTTTGGTGTTCTGTGAATTTAGATATCTATAGGCTACATAAGTATGATTTATGTTGAAATATAGATACTTTATTCATCCCAATTTGGGAAATTATTTTGTCAAAGCAGCAGTGTTTTCAAGCATTGGACATGAGTTACAACATTAACGGCAACTATATTCAAATTCACGATAGAAAGGACATATATCACTAGAGTATCTAAATAATACACAATATAAAGAGAATACTCATAACATTTGAATACTCTATTAATTTCATACAATTTCACTAGGCAACAGACACATTTATAAATATACTACAGAGAACATGTAGACATTGGATCATATTTGTTGTGGGAAATATGTTGCATATGTCTGCTGCAGCCATCCTGTCCTTCGGAGAGGAGCTGCTGTTTCAAAGTTGTTCTCTGTTTCATTGTTCATGAAATTGCAGTTCGTCTTACTTTGCTGCTTGAGTTCGAGTAGCCTCTGTAATTGTCATTCATGAGCAGCTCTCAGTGTTGCATAATAGCCCACATCCACTCCTGCAGGCCGGGTCCGGGGGGCTGCCAGCAGAAATGAGGCTAGATAGGAAAACAGAATGTACACTTACAGCTCCTCAAAGCTGCCATGCAGATATCGAGATACAGAGTGTCTACATTGTTCCCAATAAAGGGGATGCTACAGTAATGCAATACATTTACTCGGGTACTAGTTACTTTGAAAACTAAGAATATATAGGTTTTTCTTAAAAAGATGATGCTATTTGAACATTGGTAAAGCTAATTACAATAATGGTAATACAATTATATAAAGTGTACAGTTGTCGATGTGGAAGGGGCCTTTCTGGATAATAAAGCATTTTACTTTGAATAATGTAGAGACCCCTTCAAGATAAAATTGTTATCTGTTGACTGACTGAATATAGTTAGTTTTCTTTTCTCCGACAGCAGAGAAAGACTTAAATCTACTCAGAAAGGAGTACTTGTGATGAAACAAGGCCAAACTGGTCCAAGGTCAGGTTGAGGGTCCACTGACAGAGCCCTGTCCCTCAGACGAAAACACTGCCCCCCCCCCCCCCCCACCCTGTTTGCCTGGGGAAGCAGTGTTCATGCATTCAGATTACAGGCGTGTGGTTTGCAGGCTTTCTTTAGCCTCGGTGCAGCAGGTCTCCTCCCATGGTTTGGAGCTCAGAGGTCTGTAATCTTCCCAACCACAGCACAACCACCCAGATGCATTTCTCAGGGGGAAATTGACACAAAACCCAGCTGGCAAAAAAACATACATGTGCCCAGTTTGGATGGGATCCTTGTAGAGCAAAGGTCCAGAAAACTACCATTACTGCCTCATGTTGTATGCCTCCACCATCAGTGAAGCTGCACTTAACATCCATGTTCCTCCAAAATCACTTCATCCTTTTATCCTATTAGACATGTATTTGTAATTGTCATAATTAGGGAGAGAGAGAGAGAGAACATGGTTTAGACTACATTCCCTCCCACTTGTTAGTTTTCTATAGGGTGAGTCAACACCCTGTCGTATCGATGCTGTGGTTTACCCTTTTGGAAATCTCACCAAAACCCTGCATGGAAATCATTTTAGATTTAATGTGAAACTAGATTCATGCCTAACTTGCTTCTTTGTTGTCTGCAAATAGATCTTGGCTTGATCTGGTCATTTTTCATTAATCTGAAGCTGCCATTGGTTACTACCGTTTTAGAGCCGCAAATGTACACTTTTTTTGATCATGTGTTAGAACATAAAATCCATATGACTCATGTTCTGTATGCTAAATACGAAGCAACAACTAGCAGCTGGGTATCTTATCTTAGCATTATGACGTGTGGCTCCAGTGTTGGAACCAGTTGGCTTTTGGTGTGATGATTCAGCCTCTGGGGACAACAGTCAATATTCTTTTGGGTTCCAGTGCAGCAGACTTCCTTACATTGCTCCGATCATAGTTCACAGTCCGATGGCAAAGGCAGATGCTAGAACAGAGTTAATAGTTGGGACACAAGATTCTTTCAAAAGTAAATAACTAGCAGATATATTGTCATCAGACAAGATTGCATTTTGCGCTACACAGCCACTCATTATTTGCACGCAATCAAAGCCCCCTCAAATGTGATTGATCTACTCATAAATGGTAGAATGTAAATGGAGATGAAAAGCTTCTCGTTCCCGTAATCCTGTCCTGTGTTGCCTACAGGTACTACATAAACATTTTAATATCTGTTTATAGAGATTATCCTGGCACTGTCAGAAGATAACTAATCCTGCCTAGCAACACCGTGAACGACCTTGCATTGATACGGAGCCTTTCTATTCTTCCAACCACTCAAAGGGCTTTTATGTAACATGCCAATACCTTCATAGAAACATCATGTCATCAAATACTTATTCACACACACCCACACACCAATGGCTGTGCCTTGGGGAGCAATCTGGTGTTCAGTATCGTACCAATCACGTGGTATAAAGCACCTCCACATTAGCTTCACTTTCTGACTGTGCTGTCTGTTGATAACAAATAGAATATCTAAGGACGCTGGCTTGCTGAGAGCGAGACACTGACGGGTGATCGACCTCTACCAGAGTCACACCAAGCGGCACACAGCCACAACATATACAGTAAGGGGCATGTGTGTGTTGTTATGAAAGGGAAAGGGCGGCTTAAACTCTCAGTGTGTGTGTACTGCAGCTGATGAGAAAGCACCACCCTGGAAGTTTGCATGTCTCTCACACACACACACACACACACACACACACACACACACACACACACACACACACACACACACACACACACACACACACACACACACACACACACACACACACACACACACACACACACACACACACACACACACACACACACACACACACACACACACACACACACACACACACACACACACACACACACACACACACACATCACTTCAGGGGACATTACATTGACTTACATGCATTTCCTGGAGACTTATCCTAACCTTAACCATAACCAACACATGCCTAACCTTTACCCTTACCCTTAACCTTACCCTAACTAAGTCTTCACCCTAAAATGAATGATTCTCCTCATGGGGACCTCCAATTTGTCCCCATAAGGGAGGCGAGTCCCCACACGTGACTGTGTAAACAGATTTAGGTCCCCACAAGTATAGTAATGCTAGGACACACACACACACACACACACACACACACACACACACACACACACACACACACACACACACACACACACACACACACACACAGGGAGTACTGCATGTCTGTGTTCAGTTTTTTTGCTACATCACATTTCATTCTACGCAGACTAACACAAGAGTGAATGAAGAGATGTTCCTGACAGCCACTGATTATAGATGTCTCACATGGCTGACACTGAAACAGACTCCATACAGATGTATTGCCAAAACTGTGATGACTTTTATAATGTTGGGAACACAATACAATTAACAATTGTAGAATGACTGTTAGCTTTGGAAAGCTTAATATTCTTCTAGGCGCCTAGATCACATCAAATGATACATGTTGTGTAGTATTTTGACAGGAGAAAGAGCAATATATTAATATGTAATACATGAAATAAAAAACATGAAATGCTGTGAAGGATCTGACAGTTTGAGCCAAGTGACCTCTTGACTCCTAGCTTTTTGGCAGAACCAATCCGTATCTTGCCAAAACACATCAGAACGAAAATGTCATATTTATATATTCCATCCAAGTCGGCTTTTAACTCCAACTCCTTCAAAGAGTTCTCTCAATCAAAACCAGAAGGCATCACTTTTTAACTTTCATCTGAGGAGTTGACACCCTGTTTTCGTCCAACAATGATAGCACCAACTTGTCCGTTCACCTGCTCTTTGATGTGAAACTCAAATCTGATGTGATCTAACATCCCATCCGAAGCATTGTCAAACACTACAGGGGGGTTTCTGTTGCAAATGGTCACCATTCATCTTATCTTATTAAGTGTTGTCTGGTGTGGTCCAAGCCAAGGCTGATTTTAGAGCGACAGTTTGGATTGTCTGAAGTGGGGTTGTTTGAGGGAGATGGTGATTTGAACAACCCAGTTAGGAGAAACAAATAGCTTCTACGAGCTCTGATCAAACATCAAAACATTTAGTAAACTCACTTTTTATTTTGAACCTACTGTACTTCATACAACCTAACTTCAAACTATCAGAACTATCCATTAAAGGAAAAGTCATGGCAAATTGTGACACAAGGAAATCTGCCCAACACTGCAACACATGTGATTCAACAAGCAATGATAACATTTACAAGAGATGGTAAACATGTTCTGTTGCTTTTGTACAGAGCCAGCTGTTTCCCACTGTTTCCCTCTGATGCTAAGCTAACCTGATGCTGCCAATTGCTTCATATCTACAGTACAGAAATGAGGGTGTTATCAATCTTTTCATTTCACTCTAAGAAAGTCAGCACCACACAACCAAGTGTGTTTTGTCTTTGACTTGAGCATTGCACTCTGTTTCAGCTGCATTATGGGTCTGGCTGACCGGGTAGGTGACGTGTGTCTCTACTTTCTTCGGATTTTCTGTTGTGAGTCTGCAGCACAGTAGGCTGTAGCTCCTGCGGTTTTCTTCCGCAGTTTTAAAGAAGAAGCAGGGTTTTAAATCCCTCACCCTCAAGTTACAAACACACTTCCTTCTGACTGCTGGCACTACTGAAAACAATGCAATACAACAGAATACGCCTTGTGTTTGTTGTTGTACTATCATAGTCAACATTGCTGCTGATTGAACATGCACCAGTCTTAAACCAGTATATCCAAGGATTCCTCTGGAGTCATTGAGATTTAGATTTCAATTAGATTCTGGTTGCTGTCTGCTTGTCTTTGGTTCAAAATTGGAAGAACAAGCCAAGGAAAAACAGAATGTGGTTGATGCAGAAGTTTAGAACCAATTATCGAGTGAGATAACTTCACAGTTGCTTGTTTTCTCAGTAAACACACCGTGCTTGCTTGCTTTGACTTATGAATAACTTCAGCAATGTGTTATCATATGCCCCCCCCCTCTCTCTCTTTCCGAGCTGTCTTTATCTTTTTGTTACATCTCTCACACACTTGCATGAAAAACTACAGTTAGAACGTCAACAACTCCACAAATGGTCCGCACTATAAACTCAAAGTAATACAAGTGGATCATGTTTTAGTGGTTTTCACACACCAGAGTGCTTTCCTCTCCACAGAGGAAGGTTCATCTGTTCCACGTTACTGTGCATGTATTAAGAACCCTAAACATGGATGTATGGACCAGTTAGGTCACACAAATATACGCAGAACTATAAGTCATGTTGATATAGGGCTGAAAATACTTAATAATATCTAATATCCAGATTTAAGATAACAGTATGACAAACAAAGTCAGTTGCTAGCATGTGACTATAGACAATTATTCTTCCTGTAAAACATATTTGGTAAAACAAACTTGGATTACGGAAGCCAGCTTTACTCTGGGGAGAGTGGGGTAAGTTGAGCCATTTTTTAGTTATGCTGTCCTCTAAGCAAGGAGAAATGACACATAGTAAAAATGAAAACACACACCTATAATTCAGGATGTCTCCTATCAATGGCAATGATAGGAATTCATATTTGATCAAGGGCAGTGAAAATATTACTTCTAAAGAAAAAGTGGTCTTGTGGCTCAACTTGCCCCGGGTTAGGGCTAAGTTGATCCAGGTCAGGGGGTAAATGTAACCACTGTTCAAACCTGGGCATACCTACAACAAATGTTAAAGGTAACTTTAAACAATAAATAACAAACCAAATACAAGTTTAGTTTTTCAAATATCTTTAATATACATTTCGATTGAATTGATTGATTTTTTTTTTAACATGTTAAAAGGAAAGTAATCATACAAATGGTGATACAATTTCATACATCTTACCAATCAAACACAGGGTAAATTCAACTTTAAATGTAGCCTACAATGAGCTCTTATTATCAACTTGGCCTACTTTCATTCATTTCTCCATTGAAAAACTGGCTCAACTTACCCCAAGGCCCATGGTTCACTTCACCCCATCACCACCATTTTAGAAAAAATAGCCTAGCATTAAAATGCAGTCATCTTTAGCTTAATGATACACATGGTTTAATACGCTGCCAACATATCAACACATACAATATGTTTAAACCTGGATAATATTTTTTGACATGACAGCCGATATAGCTGACATCTAGAACATTTACTTTGACAAGCAAAAAAGGTTTTTTTGTAAAAATGTTTACTCACCAGACCACAATGAGCATCTCTTTCACAGGCAATGAGAAATGGGAGGAGCTTGCATCATTTCTGGTCACATGATTACAACTATAAGGCATTGCCTGGTTACAGGGGGTGGTTCAACAACTTACCCTGATTTAATGACTGATTTTAAATGCCATTTTCTTAAATGTCTTTCGTTTTTCGTAAAGCACTTTGAATTGCCTTGTGTTGAAAGGTGCTATATAAATAAACTTGCCTTGTCTTGCCTTGCCTTACCCACTGGCTCAACTTACCCCCTTCTCCCCTACGGATATACAGACTGTGAGCCAGTAACAAACGCAGCATTCTAAATAATATGACAGTTAAACAATCAAGCCACATACAGTACATATAAACGTGTCCTACATGTTTCCTCAGACCCTGTGAGATGGATGGCTGACCTTGGAGCTCTCTGATTGGTTCGCTGAACTCTCTCCAGCTGCTGTCATGGCCAAAAGTCCGGAGGTGAAGCTGGCCGTCTTTGGCAGAGCCGGAGTGGGCAAGTCAGGTAAAGTGATGATAAAGTATTCAAATATTGTAAAGTGTGCGTAGGTCATAATAAACAATTGACCCTTATTTGCTGTTCTTCTGGTTATTTAAATTTCCCAGAACTAGCGGATGGATTTTTCTCTTTACTTTGATGCCTGGAATCTCCTTGAATCAGTTTCCAGGAAACATTTAAAAGCCTTAAACACGGCTGAAGTGTCTGCAGGTTTATGGGTGCGTTTTGATGTTTCTGCTCATGTTATGTTGTCCCCGTGGGTCTCAGCATGACCTCTGCTTTCTAATGTTTTCCTCCAACATCCTGTCAGTGTTTTTACACATAATTCCTCCTCGTGCTCAGTCTGTTTGTGTAGTCAGCACTACAGTAGGAGGTTGTTTTTGGTCTGGCTCAAATACCTTCACTCCCACAGATAAGTCAGTTGTGTCATTATCATTTCAGCGTTCCTCTGTGAGCTGCGTTAGCTCAGCTGGAGCCTGCTATATTTTCTCCAGTAGCCGACACAATTACACAGAACATATGTTTCCCGAGCGCCAGCAAATCAAATGAAGACAGATTGCTTCTGCGTAACCATCAGCGGTTGGAACTCATGCTTAGAAAGCTCTCCCATGTCAAAGAAGGTCATTAAAATACCTGAGGAGGTTAACTCAAGTACTGTACTGTAACATAATGACTGCAGAGTTCACAACCTTCAGCTGAAAGGAGTGTGGTTGTAAAACATGTGAGGCTGAAGGTGTGTTTAACCCTGTACAGGAAACTGAGACATTAAAGCTCCCATCTGCAACTTTCTTCCTGAACTATAGTCTGCTATTAGCCCTGTCAAACCTGCCCTGATCCGTTTCCATGGCTTCAATCTCTCCATATCCCAACGTTATTACTGGGACTTCTGCTCAGTGGCTGCGTACCTTGTGATCATTATTTAAAGAGGACATATTCTGCTCATTTTCTGTCCATATCCTTATGTAGTGTCTCTACTTTAAAGAGTCCTCTCCTGCTGATGTTCAGGTGTATATCAGTATGTAGTGTCTCTACTGTGACATGTCTCCATGCTTTAATGTTCAAACAGCTCTTTATTTTTCTCATACTGCCTGTGCTGCAGCACCTCTTTTCACCCTCTGTCTGAAACCAGAGCCCAGTCTGCTCTGATTGGTTAGCAGGCCGGCTCTGTTGTGATTGGTCAACCGCTTAGCGGTGACTTTTGGTTCCGTTTCTTCACTGGAGTGATCATAATCACATTTGGGAACTTGCAAGAACATGTTTGTTCAACAAACTCATGCTTGCTGTAAAATTGTTTTTAATACCAAGTCCCCTTTCACATGGACCATTGACAGTGCAAATCATATAAACAAGGCAGTGGAAGGGGGGGACATTCTGCAATGAGAGAGACATAGGGATATATGCTTTAGGCCAGGATGAAGGGACTAAGAGGATACATTATTTTTATAAAATCCGATTTAAAAGGGCTAAGGATGAATCACTGAACACATTCGTTAATCAGAGCATTCACATAAGAACGTCACTATATCAGGGCCAGGAAACCGGTTTGCAGCTTTCAGTAAAAGTTCACGTTTTGAAAAAAAAAATTCAGGCTGTTATTCATAAAAGATATTTTACCGGGGCTTTGAAGAGGACAGTTGAGTCATGCTCTTTATAATGCACGTTAAGAGACACGCAGCAGGATGGTAGTTATTGTTCTCATCTGACGCTACATGTCTCCCATGAAATCCCTTCAACAAATGAACAGCTCTCAGCTAAACATAGCCCTTCAGTGGAAGCCCACACATGCTAATGAATCAGCCTTCTCTTGAATGGGCATTGTGACTCAATCCGTATTCTCCCACTGCATGCACAATATGGGAGAGGGGGGTAAGATGAACACATTTTACTTATGTTGTCCTCTAGGCAATGCAAATGACAACAACAACCGTTGTGTCTATCACAAAGGGCACTAACCAAGGGGTACATTGATCCGAGTCGAGGGCTAAATGGAGCCATCTGGGGTTAAACTGACCAGTTGAGTTGTTCAAGCTTAAGTGGTTTGGTACAGGAATGTTGTTTGCTATTTAATGTCAATTGTTAGACACTTGTATCCACTCTTTAACAACATGCTGACTGATCAGAGCATCGTCCTTAGCAGCTGCCTGTTAGCGAAAATCATCAATCATATCTCTGGAATGTCCAAATTGACCAATAAGAATTGAGTATTCAACTACACACACACACACACACACACACACACACACACACACACACACACACACACACACACACACACACACACACACACACACACACACACACACACACACACACACACACACACACACACACACACACACACACACACACACACACACACACACCACACACACACACACACACACACACACACACACACACACACACACCCACACACACACACACACACACACACACACATACAGACACACACACACACAACCACACACACACACACACACACACACACAGTGAGTGGATCCCGGTGGTAATCCCTTGTGAGATTTTAAGGAGTATATTTTCTATGCTCTATGATCATGTCTGTAATATTTATATTTGTCACTAATATTGATGCATATATATATCGGGAGGCGTGTGGCGCAGTGAGTTAATGCGCTGATCTTCGAATCAGAGAATAGCAAATTTGAGCCCCACTGCAGTCAGCATGTCGTTTTGTCCCTGAGACACTTCACCACAAACTGCTCCTGTGGGGATTGCCCTCAGTACTGAGTATGTAAGTTGCTTTGGATAAAAGCGTCTAACATGTAATGTAATAATGTAATTTAATATATGAGGGAAAACATGGCAGCAGGTGATTTACTCTGCATGCTGGAGCTCGAAGCCACTCTTTCCTTATGTCGAGTTGCAGGTTAGCTTTGATGAAATGTAAATAGAAAGAGCTGTGTTGCCATGACAAGCAGAACAGAATGTTGTTGAAATGTAAAAGTGCACCACTTCATATTTATTTGAGCAATGGACCAAAATACATTGTGAAAGGTGTTGCTCATGGAAACAAACCTAGAGATGAAAATTAAATATACTCTCTTAGCTCCACTCAGCAATTTTTCATGTCTTATTAAGACCACCAATCTACTGTATCTACCTATCATTTCTTTTAAAACGTACAATGTGAGTCGCTATCTGACGTTCATCCAATGAATAACATGTGCTGCAACAACACTGAGAGCACACACATTTACAAACTGAATAGTGTGCTCTAGTGTGTGTATTTTTTTTACTGTTGAGTCACATATTGTTGTCTATTACTCAACGTTCCACTTATTACAGAATACTCGTCCAACAAACTTTTCTAGCTGTAATTAAACTTTGTTTTCATAGTGGAGGAAAATACAGGGAGGATCATATTCCTTCCATATGAAAGCCAACCGTTGGATGTTTTTCATTCGTCACATGAGATATTCCAGTCATGTCTCCTCTGTCTAATCCTCGGCTGCAGAGAAACACATCGCTCTCCCTTTACCTCACACTCTTTATTTGCATTTAGTTTTGTTGATGAGTCACAGCTTTACAGAATGGAACAGGACATTTATTATTCTGAAAATGAGTTTTAGTCCAAAGGCTTTCTGGCTGATTTGTCTGCGATGTGTGAGGTAACACCAAACACAACATTTCTTTTAAAACTGGCTTTGCAATCATTTTTACTTTTCATGTCTGTTGCTTTTAAAACACAGACTTATATTCAGTGTAATACCATACACATATCTACCTGACAAATGTAAAGGTTAAGTATACCATGCACACTTTAACATGTTGACTGCCACTGACCCTTTGATTGGTAGACGACCGTTTAGCCACAACGGTCCATGCACGTATCATTTATTTATAACTTAAAGGTTAATAAAAGGAAAAAAAGGGGCGATTATTCTCCATTGTGACCCAGGTAGTACTGTTCTAAAAACACGACTGTTTGCTATCCTGGCTCCAAAACGTTGGAAGGAACTAACTTGATATCAGGACAGCATTTAAAGCTAGTTTATCGCATGTGTTCTTAGACACTTTGGTTAAAAGGCATTTGAAAAGACACACCTTTTTTCTCCATTCTTCAAATGCCAAGTATCAACAGGAGGATTCTTGCTCTCTCACTTCGTATGAATGAATGTCACCACTCACCACGACAGCTGTAGAGTGAGGAGGACGGAGGTTGAAGTAAAACACTCACTGGCAGCAGCACTGAGTCTCCAACCGGCCGATCTGCTCCAACAAACGCGGTTTCTGGTCTTAATTATAACCGTTTCTGTTAGACATATTAACATCCGATAGACAGACACCGACAAAAACAAGCCACTACTTTATTTTTCTATACTGACTTCATCAGCTTAATAGGTAAATAAATACTAGAAATATACTCAACAAAAGACGCCTTTTCTCCAGGCATTCACATGCCGGCGCTCTCATGGGCGCTCTCTTCTCAATGGAAACAAAGAAAAGATGCAGGCTTATCTGTTCCAGGCCACATTTAAACTTAGTTTTCTCTCAAAAACTGGCATAGGACCCAGTATAAAATGGTCAGCTCTTCAGTATAGAAAATCAGATGGGGGATTGGCATGCCCACATTTTAAACTATATCATTGAGCATTCATATTAAAGGGATAGTGGAAATCCGCGAATTTTGGGTTTAACTTATGTATTTGTATTAAAAATAAGCATAATAAACATTTTTTTTTAATTTCATGCGCCTAGTTTCATTTTATTTTCAATTTTACTGCGTTCTCTCAATGAAACGAAATATGTCGGGAATCTTCGGGTGATGACGAGAGCAGAGGAAGACGGGCACAAACAATGGCGGACATTCAATAGCATTTGCATGTGAATAGCCGACCTTTATTATGGTGAATAGATGTGTTTTGTATGGCTGTAGTGCGACAGCAAATGCAGAGAATGGCGTATCGACTCATGCGTTTCCAAGAAACCCAGCCATTCGTCGTCAGTGGGTGAAATTTGTTCAGACATTTTCACTATAGGTAATA